TTAATTAAAATTCTTTAAATATAAATTATCTAAACATAAATAAAGATCAATCTAACATAAATAACTAAAAGGTTAATAATAGGTTGGATAAAATTGGATTAAATTTAAATTTTATTGAATTGGATTTAGGTTTGAAGTTTGAATTAAATTTAAAATAAAACTAATTTACATGTTTTTTTTAATTTTTCGCGAGGATGGGATCCTCATATGACCCCGCGGGGGGGGCAAAAATTCCTTGCGAATTTTCACGGGGAGAAAATACTCCCCATCCCTGTCCCGTCCCCGTAGCGGACATGCCCACGGGCCCTGTAGAGATTGGGACAAATTGCCATCCCTACTTGCTAGGAAGACTACTGTTTTTTTTTTTTTCCATCTTTTATGATCAATTAATTTTTTTTTTATACCTATTTGTGATGTGTTTATATTTTAAAGATTTAGGTAATAATTAATTGCTTCTTTGTTTAAAGAAACGCTGCAATGATAAAATCTAGCAAAGATACTAGGCATGGGCTCCATTCCATAGTAACATATGATGGTCGGAATTATCCATGCTTGACATTGCCAGACTTAAATGTCCTATTGCCAAATAATGGATGCAGCTCATGGGAGAGTAATTACTCCTTAATCCTCTATTCTACTCTACTGATATGCTTTTCATTCATTTATCTCTTATTTGTCTTTTTTTTTTAAAAAAAAAAAATTGTCTCTTATCCACCTGTTGAATTTCATTCATTTATCTCTTTTTTGAATTGTGGTAGGTAGATGTGATTGATACAGATGAAGATCAGTTTTTTGAAGACTTACATGATTTTTGCTGCAAGGCTGCTGATGAGGATGGTTTTTTTTTTTTAGATGAAAAAAAAGAAAAAAAACCATCATTTCTCATGAGGATGGTAATAAGACAGTGATCATTTCTGAACTCGATGGAGACTACCTGAGGTAGTGTTTCAGATTATTCTTCTATTTTAATTTTTTTTTTCTATCCTTTTCATTTATTTTCACTAAAAAAAGGGACTTAGATTGCAACATCAAAAAAGACCCTTTTTAGCTCAACAGAGGACGTTATAAATGTTATTTTAATATTAATTAAAGTGCTAATAAAGTAATATTAATATTAAAATTTCTTAAAAATTTTGAACTTCAATATTGTAATTTCCAAAATTATGCTTAAAACTTCCTGACCCTATACCTAGTGGTTGAAATTAAGTGTGTAAAAGACAATTTATTTTAGTGGATTTTGATACTGTTACATACAGGAGCAGTTTTGCTTCAGCTTGATGTCATACCCCTTGCTAATAGTGTGGTCAAACTGACAGCTAATGTGGGTTGTGTGGTAACAAAGCCCTCCTCTTTTACAGTAAGGAAGACAAATGAATTAGCAAAAACTTGGTATTGAACTTTGGGTTATGGCTGTTCACCTTTGGTGGGTTGTACGTTCGAGTCCCACGGAATCTCTTTTTTCTCTCCCCCAATTAATCTTGTAAATAATTACAAATTGTTCAAAAAAAAAAATCAGCAAAAACCTATTTTTGATCTTTTACCTTATTAGATTTGTAAGTTTTAACTCTCATTTTTATTATGATATTTTTGGCCCTTTCACTTATTAAAATTGAAGAAAATAACTCTCACTTTATAATATTTCGTTAGTTTTGTTAACTGACTGTTAACTTTGTTAGTTGCTGTTAATTTTATTAATTGAAAATAGGTTTTTATTAACTAATAGTAAGTTAATAAAGTTAACAGTCAACTAACAGAATCTGTTAGCTGACTATTAATTTTATTAGCTGATAGTAGGTTTTTATTAGCTAACAATTAACTAACAAAACTAATAAAACTAACAAAATATTATAAGTGAGGGTTATTTTATTTAATTCTAATAGGTGAGAGGTTAAAAGTATCATAATATAAGATGAATAGCTAAAACTTACACATCTAGTAAAGTAAATGGTTACAAGTAGGCTTTTGCCAATAAAAAGGAGATAGAATTGATTGGTGAGTTGGAAGCTTACATGCCTGTTTGTTGTCCCTAAAAATAAACCCTAAATTGCAACACTAAAAAATGATGAGTTATAGCGCAAATCATTATAACAGAGGATGTTATAAATACTATTTTAGCATTGATCCACTCGTAAAGTAATATTAGTATTAAAATTTCTTAAAATGTCTAAATTTTTAGATTTTTTAGTGTTAGTGCGTAAAACATTTCAACACAATACTTCAACATTAGAAATTGAGTGTAAAAAAAGACAACTTTTTTTATAATGCATCTACTCTTGTTGACAAACAGTGAATCATTTCAGACGCAAAGAAGGTTTTTCTGAACCTCTTCGATCTAAAAGATGATCCAATGTTTAAATAAAAAATGAAAAAGTTGGCCTTCATTTCAAGCATTTTCTTCTTTTTTGCCCTAAAGCCATAAAATTTATGTTTTGTTTTTTTGACTAAAATGGGGGAGGTGTTTGAGAAATTTGGGCTCCATTTTGTCAGAAAAGATGGCTGGGTTTAGAGAAACGTAACAGGCTGTCAAATTGGAAACGACCCTGTATATACAAACGATTAATGGACCTCAATTTCAAAACATTGTAAACCCATTATATAGGCTAGGTCCAACGTTGGGCCTTCAATATTTTTCTCTTGCTCTTGCCTTTGGTTTGGGTGTAATCATTTCCACCATAAAAAGGAAAAAACAAAAGTTAATATTACTAAAATTTTATTTTTTAAATAATATTTAAAAATATTAATTCATTTATTAATTTTAATTTTTTTATTAATAAATAGTAATTATTCTATTAGTTACTTTTTTATTTTAAAAGAATTGTTATTTTTTTTAAAAAAATTTTATTTAAGAATAATATTTGTATTATCAACGATTTAAGTAATTCAATGATCATTTCCTTTTATTGGAAATAAGAGGTCCTGAGTTTGAGTGATATGACATGCAAGTGGGTTGAGATAAAAGATAAAAGATAATTGCCTCTCATTGTGCAATCAAGATAAAAAAAAAAAGAATAATATTTGTATTTATTTATAATACTTAAAAAAAATTAAAGATTAGGAGAGATTTTTTTGTAAGCAAAAAATTAATTCAAATGAATGGATAATGATAGGATTAAAGTAAGGAAAAATATTTATCTATTTTAAAAAATAAAAAATAACAATTAATTTAAGACAATTTTAAAACTAAAAAATAAAAGGTACTTTAGAACAGAAGAAGTATTAATTTATAATCATTGTTATTAGTTACTTTTATTAGTTAAATTAAATAAATTAATATCTTTCAATACAATATTTCTTTTATTTTAGTGGTATAACATTCTTATTGGTGCCAGAATTGTGCCCTTTTTTATTATCTGTTTAGAAACATCCATCATTTGCTAAAATAATCTTGACTACTGAAATGGTTAGTTTTTTATCTAAAGTTTTTTGCATTGAGAAAAATAAATGGGAAAATAATTTATGGATTAAATGGTTATATGGATATAGGAAATTTATGATTGAATATAAAACACATGATTTCGAACTCAATTATTCTTTCATAATTTCTACTCAAGATGACTGAATTATACTCTAATAAAGTTTCTATATAACATAAAAAAATATATTTAAGCTTTTGCCCAAATTTATATACATAAAAGCATATATAAAGGCCAATTTTCATGGCTACAATTGGGTACTTGCTCGAATTGCATTTAGCCATTTTCTTTTGAACTTTTGGCTTGTACCTACAATGATCCGAATAAAATCAATATTTATTAAATATGGCCTTCCTCATTTTTACTAATTTTTTAGATTATTTAGATCAAAAAAAAATTTTTTTTTTTTATAATTTCCAAATTTCTTAACAATAACTCATGCAGAGGCTAAACCTTCCTACAAAATAAATTGGTCAAAAAGCATGTTAGATATATAAGATAAATACTAAGATCAATACATGAAAAACTATATATATATATATATATATACATATTACCATACTGATTAACACGTAATCACGCAATAGCTATAATAAACCAAGAAATATAACACATCTGACTTTGAAAGCCGTGGGATTCTTTTCCATTCCACTGGAATAAATCAAAGATTACCACTAGGTGATAGAGACAACTGATTCGTTACTTTTTTCCAATGGCAGGCTAGTTTTCTCTGAATATGTCCATTTTCCGACATTATTGATTTATTTTAAATTGTATAATAATATATATTATCTTTTAATTAATTTCATCCACATACTATATGGTTAAAATTCAGCATTTCTTTCTCTATTTAGAGGAGAGATTGTCATTTTACCACTTAAGTCGTTCGTAACGTACCCCTAGATATATACAATCGTGTCACTACCATTGCTTAGATTTAAGGAAATAATTTACGTACAATGTTATTTATGATGAAATATGACAATCTTAAGTTACAATAATTAAGTTGGACTCTTTTCAGCCGGTAGAGTGCATAAATGTGGTATACATCAATTTATTTGATATTATAAATTATATATATTATAAGATTTAAAATTTCATTGTAAGAAAATATTGTATATTATCCTTTAAATTTATAGTTAGAATTTGTTAACTATATGTAGTAAATATTATACTCTAAAAGTGTGATGGTAGTCCAGGTAAACGACCTCGGACACCCTCTGAGCTTAGTTGATCGTCCCTTAACAGTCGAGTTGTGATCCAAGTTTAGTTCGTCCCTTCTATATTGAAGCTATAATAGCTCCGTACATGCTTAATCTTTATACGAGAGATTTTCACGGTGATTCATAGATATGATCTTGATTATCTATAAAGAAAAACGCATGGACACCCCCTTTGAAAGTTATAAATACCCCCAAGAATCCCTTTTAAAAGGTAATTGAAACCGATCTCAATAGCAGGTCTGATTATTACTAATTTAAGTATCGGAGTGTCTACCCTGAAAACTAACTTCGGGGTTTTGTAGGTTAGGTTGAAGAGGAAACTCGAACAAAAGAGAGTTCAATAGTTCATTGCAATTACAAAAAGAATGGTAGAAATTAGAAACTTTCATGAAAAAATGACAAAGAAATATACTAAATTATGAAAAAGAATGAAAGCTTTGCCTTTGTTCCTTTCTTAGCAGGCTTGATTATTGCTAATTTAAGTATTGGAGTGTCTATCTTAAAGACTAACCTCGGGGCTTTGCAAGTTAGCTTGAAGAGGAAATTCGAACAAGAAGGAGTTCAACAATTCATTGCAATTACAAAAAGTATGGTAGAAATTAAAAACTTTCATGAAAAAGTGACAAAGAAAAATACTAAATTAAGTAAACAAAAAAAAAATGTGGTGCAAACTAAGTTCAAACTACATTAACACCTATCGTAGGTGTATCTTTTAATGTTGAAAATGGTTTTTTATTTAATAACCTTTATTTTATAATTTGGTGAAATCCAGGCTATTAAACAAAAAATTCTTAACATGTAATTGCTTGATAAGATTCATTAGCTTATTGTAACACAACACGAGCAATATTTGTAGGCACATCCTCATACCACAATACCAATACTACAATACAATCAAGACAAGGTTTTTTTCTTTTTCTTTTTTCTTTTTTTTTTTTAATTGGGGGAGACAATGTAAAAAGAAAAAGCATATTGGTAATGCAACTTATTAACTTTAAGAAGCACTTTAGTTAAAAACTCAGCTTAATATAGCATGATCCATCATCACTAATTAATTTTTTTCCCCATTTTTCTTACTTTCACACTCTTTGGCCACCATATTTCCTTGCAGCTTCCCTACTATCAATGGTTTTTGTGTAAGGTTCATTTTTTGGGTTATTAGGGAAATTGAAATTACCATATCTCCTTGCAGCTTCTCTACTGTCAATGGTTGAGGTATAGGAATCCGCACTCAATCCTGTTGAGATGGGCATTGCAACTCGAGAAGTAGGAGGAGGAGAAGGTTTTGCACTTTCCAAGAGGTATCCCATGGCCGTGTTGATATCATTTGTTGGTTTGGTGAGGGATCCTTCTGGCGCTGACGCCCATGTTGCTGGACTTGGCCTAGACCGTCCACCAGTAGTGACCATAGGTGGATCACTTGTGCTTTGCCCTGACTTGTTGCCCAAGTCACCATCGTAACCATACCTCGTTGTAACTTGAGGTGCTTGTGGCCAATATCTTGCCCTCGATGGTGGGAACCTGGGCTGACTAGCTTCAATCTGGACATTGTCAAGGAACTCATTGACCTTGTCAGGTTCATACTCACGAATAGGACTTGAAGGCCTCTGCCATTTTTCTCCTGTGTGGTTTTCATTGAACTTCCCAGGTTTAGGCCTACCCCATTTCTCTTCTGGAACACTGCCATGAGTTGGAACCGGCTCAACCATTGGAAACGCCTCATCTTCGTTGTACTCATCAAACTTCTGCGGGTCACCATAGACAGGTTCAGAATATGTAACACGACTCGGAGGAATATAGCTCTTCAATTCCACGGCACAGCCATTATTTGTCCTGAGTGGCCGTGTTGGATAGCTAGTTTTGTAGTGACCCTGGACTTCGTTGGCCTTTGGTGGGAAACCATTAACAGGTGACCGTGTATTCAATTTTTCTTCCATGGAACGACGAACCGGGCTAGAAGGCCTGACCCATTTACCGTCCGCAACGCCTCCATAGGTCCTGGCTGGCTCAACCCTTGTTGGGAGGCTTTGTTTGTAGTCATAACCTGAGTCGACAGTGCCCTGAACAACTGCTTCAGTTTTTAAAACATAGTACTCACAGTTGTTCGGAATGTTGTAAGAAATGATTGGCCTCTTTCTCCCTTCAGCATCGATGAGCACTGGCCTGCAGACATGATCAGAGTTCCAATCACCCATATAGGATCCCTCCCCATTTTGGCTACAATAGCCCGTGTACGGGTAACCATAGGAAGACATTTCCTAGCCCAAAGAAGGAAAATTTTCTGTTCCTCAAAGGGTTTCAGCCCCCTTTTTTTTTTCCCTTTGCTTACCAAACATGTTTGAGCATCTACTTACTTATAAAGAGAAAAGAGTATGTTCTCTAATGCAGAAATTTGACAAAAGATTTCAGAAATATTACATGCGTGAGCCACAAGAATCATATGCCAGTACACTTTAAGACCTCCTTTCAAGTTTTTCTATATGAAGATTGATAGAAGAATCATATTCTGCTGGTAAATGGAGAATAAAGAAAGGAGAATTTTCTTATCTTTCTTGAACTGA